ACTAGGAATTAATTCTGTTCCTTTTAGCTAAACATGAACTGGAAAGAAGTGGAGGCAGTGGCTAGAGAAAAGACAAGTACACAGCATGCAGAAAGCCGTGCCTACACTCCTGTCAGTTAACAGGTGAAGGTTTTGCACTAGTAGTAGTAGTAGTAGCTTGTTATTTGTTAAAAATCAGTGGCATGAGCCAGGCATGGTGGCACACACATGTAATCCCAGAACTCGGGAGTCTGAGGCAGGAGGATCGCTGTGAGTTTGAGGCCAGCTTGGGCTACAAAGTGAGTTCAAGGCCAGCCTGAAGTGCATAGTGAAACCTGTGTCAAACAGACCAAAAAAAAAAAAAAAAAATCAGTGGCATGTTGGGTCACTCCCCTAGTGTATTCCTTGGCTACCTTTTAAGTGAAAGAGGCATAAATCTAAACCCAAGAAAAAGAAAACTAGAGCAACAAATTCAAATAACTTAAAATTAAGGTTCCTGGCTTCACTCCAGAGAGCAGAAGAGCTCGTGTTAGGCGTCTGATTCTGTTTTGCATTTCAGAGCAAGAAGTCGCGTTCACAAAGCCAAAACTACACTGCACTCTCCTTTGATGACAAACACACACAGAAGAAAACAAACTCTAGGTTTGGGAGGAAACTTGCAAACTACAGAAGACTCTAAGCAGCCCTGGGGAGACACAGGTTTGTCAAGACACCATCCCTGCAGCCAGGCGCTCCACCAGCCTGGGTGACGCCCCCTTCACGAGAAAGAGACCGGGCTAAGCGAGCAGTCCAGGCCTGTTCCGGCCACCTCGATAGGCAGCACTGCCAGAAGAGGAAAGAGTGGGGCACCCCCAGGGCCCCGGGGACAGGCAGAGATGGAACAGACCAACAAAGAGACAAACCCTGGTGTTTGCCTGGGTCTAGTCCTCAACACTGCCAAAAACCCAGAGCCCTGAAGTGCCCCCCGTCCTTACAACCACTCAACCTGTCTCATGTTTCATGTGTCACCTCAAAGCCTTTATTTTTTAAAAAATGCCATAAAAAAAAAAATTAAAGAAAACATGAAAAAGCACAGCTGAGTTTCAACCCACGTTCCTAAACTCATTGGCGGCAGGGTCAGGAGCTGGGCGTGATGCGGCACGCATCACACGGGCCACCAAGGGCAGCCTCAAGCTACGAAGTCTCCTGTGCTAGGGAGGGGATGGGTTCAGCAGCCGTGTGCTTGCCAGGGCCCCATGGGTGACACTGCACCAGACATCAGAAATCAGACCCTGCCACCCAGCACGCTGACCTCCACTGACACAGAAATCCAAGCAACACCGAGGAATCAGTGTTGCAAGCTCGCAACACCGAGGAATCCAGTTTCTTGAACTCAGAATTCTGCTTATTACTATGAAGACTCATTGAACATGTTTTCCTGTCTTTTTCTTCCCTTAACCCTTTGCAAATCATTGACAAACCCAAAACTCAGTTGAGATTCAAATAAATTTATGAGTATGTGATACCCCGCATATGAGCAGCACCTAAATAACAACCCAACTAAATCGGAGACTTCCAACGTGCAAAACAGTCCTTTGACTGTGATAAATAACGTTATTAGAAATATATCAGGCCCGGGGACTGAGACTGGTACAGACGCATCCACATAGCAGGCCTCTAACAGGTGCGCTAAGTAACCGGCTGCCTTTCATTCCTGAAATCACTAATGATGTTGAATCAAAGGCTGCAACAACATGTCTCCAGGAATTTATCTTTGCAAGAGGAAATAACATCTCAGTCTCTGTGGGAGCAAGCCCACGTTCAAAATCTGAGACAAAATATTCTAAGTAGCCAAGGCAAATGCTGACTTTTGCTTTTCCTGCTCTACTGAAAAAGTATGGTTTCTACCTTCCTAAAACTACCTTCAAAGCTTGAAATCAAACAGTGGAGGGTCTATCATATATAAATATATGTGGAGAAGTCAAGTCAAAATAATTGCCTCATACTGCTTTCTTGTTTCATTAATAACTTAGCAATATTACAACCACTGATTGGACAATTATTGTCTTAAATGGATGACCAATATCTCATCTTGACATAAGAAGAAAAAAAGAGATGCAGATTTGTAATTCATTTTAACCAACGATTTCCTTGCTACCACACAAAAGATTTTTAGAAGTCTGATTTTACATAGTTTATCTTACTGATATTCAAATTCCTATCAACAAATCAATTACCTACCTATGGCAGAGATGAAAGACTTACTCAGATAACATAGTTAAATCACAATGTAAAAACTGAATTTCAGGGGGAAAAATACCCAAAACCCCACACAAAAGTCAAAAGAACCAAACAATATTAGAGATGAAAGGGATTCTGAGCCTGAGGAGTGGTCTTATGATGCTTTGGTGAAGCTATTTGCAAAACCAAGGGCAAAGTAAATAGCTATAAAGGTTCTGCTCCAGCACTCCATCATGTGCATATGTAAGGGAAGTTACAGCCTTACATACAATGCTAGCCAAAAAGAAGATATTTTATCCATGAAGGTCAGAAAATATCAGCAAAACCTTATTTCACCATGATGCTTCTTAATCTTAATTCTAGAAGCTCTAATGAATTAAATATTGACATTTTCAGCAAAATAACACATGGTCTGAGTTTTGTCATCAAGTTTAATTTTAATGCAAACCACCAGACTAAAACATTTTTTTGTTCAACTGCAGGTTTATAATAAACAGGTGCCCAAGATGGTAATGAAGAGGGCTCGCGTATGTACCTTGAACTTGAGGAGGGAACAAGAGAGAAGGGAAGAAGGCAGTGGTCCTACTTGGTCTACCACCCAGGAGCACATCCAGGAACATCTGGGGACAAAGACTTCTACAATTTGGAGGAAACAATCCGCAGAGCTCCCTAAGTGCGGAAATGAGATGACAGAGTGACAACCCAGGCACTAAAACTAAGCACAGCTCTCCTGTTCACCCCACTGCCCAGGACAGGACGTCTAAGTGATGGATCACACATCTACCCAGCGAGCTGAGGGACAGCTTGGAATAAGCACAGCAGATGGTCAGTGACCACCCTGACCCTGGTGGTGCCTAGAAATTGCTGCCGAAAAAGGAGCACTAATTAGGGGATGTACAGGACGCCCACTAGGGCAAGATACACCAGGTGTGGGAACCTAATCCACGAGTGAGCTTTATTCTGCCAGGGTTTGAAGACTACATTTTAAGCATTACCTCTATATCATCTTATTTACAATAAAGGACCCAAACGATACCCAACTCATTTAGAACAAGACCCCCAAAGGAGTATGTTACCTTTATCTGTGAATAAACTTCTATTACCATAATCTAAACATTTATAATATCCAGACTTTTTGCCAATTTCAAATAAAATATAGGAATGAGGATACTTAGATATAGAAAGTTTAAAAAACTTTCTATAAAAAGTACTGTAAGCCAAGCAAGGGATGATTTCACAAAGGAGGAATACACTATCGTGTTTGTCGTGCCCATTGTTCTGGTAACATTCTGCGCTTCACTACTGCAGCGATGACTGAGTACAAGTACACTACTTACACTTAACCAGTATGAGGTTCCGCACGAGCAGAGCGTACGTCTTTATCACCTTTGTACTGTAGCAAACGAGACACACCAGTGCTCAAGAAACAATGCTCATAACACCAAATGTAATGTAAAAGTAGCTTAGCAAAGCCCCAGACATGGGCCAGCTGGGGTATGACGCAGTGTAACAACAGCGTCCAGGATTAAGACCAAAGTAAGGACAGGTCAGCCAGAAAGGGAAATGAGTCTTGTCAAGAAGAGCCTTATCTAAAAGAGGTCAGCCAATTATCACCCCTGGGCCAATCCAGCCCTCTGTTTTCTAAATAAACTTTTATTAGAACACAGCCCCAAATAACTGTTAAGGTATCATGGACGGCTCCTTTCATGAGGCAGAGCTGGGTAAATGCATCGGGCTCACAAAACCAAAATTACTTGGCATGCTGCTCTTTAGAGAAAAAGCCTGCCACTCCTACCTCGTCTAGAGCAAAGCACTGCTACAATCCCAGTGATCTGTGACTTTGCAACAGAGCAGAAACTCATCTTTACTTTTCAGTAATCGCAGACCAGCTGTTGAATTTAACATTTAGTATTCTCTTCGAATATGAATGTAGGGCGGGAAAGCCATAGAGCCGTTTGCAGCACTTGAGGATCTATCCTGATCAGAAATCACTGCACGGTTGCCGCAAGATCTCAAAACGCCACAGGCACGCACGGCAACCTTAGTATTATGATAGCGGTTCAACCTGCTGGAACAACTTATAAGGTGTTAATAAAATGTTTACGTACTGCCCGTCACAAATTTTAGTATTTTGATAAAATATCTCAGTCTCATTAGTTCCCTCTGTAACCCTATGCACTCTGGACAACAGAGTCTGAAACAGTAATCATCTATTTAGTAGTCCAAGACACCACAACCTTCCTAATCCTCAGGAACAAAATGTAAATCCCTGCCATGGTATTTAGGAGGCCTGCTACAGTACACACTGATACTGAAAGTAACAGAAAGATGTGAATAAATCACTACAATGTGGGACAAGAACAGAAGTTGTCCCATGTCAGATTCTGAGGACAGAGGCACCAGGCAGGCAAACAGGAAACGAGCACCGTGGACACTGAATATTCGAAATGATCTCTTCTTTTTGTTGGACCACACCCAAGCTGGCAGTCCCCTCTCCATGGGCTCCACTGTCAAGACAAAGGTGCACCAGTGGAGACGGTACCCTGGGGGAGTAAGTGGCATAATCTGAAGACACATAGGAGACCTTCACTGGATAAGAGATCGCAAAAGCCATCATGGCCACCAAAGCCTAGCTAAGAAGGCAATTTCCTTAATAAAGGGAAAACACTTTACGGCCATCAAGTCAATAAATCAGCCCTTTTAGAAGTGTCTAAGAACAATCTGACTTTAACAATTCCAAAGGAACCATTGTGACATAATGTCCATCATTCCAAAATTAAATACTTTCAGAAAAAGCAAAAATAGTACAGTCAAGAACAGGCAAAGGGAGACATTTACGGCCCACTGGTCAGGGGTCAAGACCGAGGAGCTCCCCAGAAGGCCTTTTGCAAGCAGGTGAAGAGACACCAGATTTCACAGACCACGAGAAGAGGTACGGTAATGACAGCACTCAGAATCCTTACTGTTCCCAACAAGCCAGCCACTAAAACTAAGCACAGGAAGGCCTTTCCGGCACAGATAATACGCTTTACCAAAGATGCCCTCGATGTGCTCAAAAACAAGGCAAAAAAGCGAGTATAACAGCATAAATTCAGTAATTTCCAGTATGTGGTTTGCATTTGCTTAACTTTAACAACTGACATAAAGGAAAAGCAGCCAGTGATGGTCACTAGCAATCAGATATCACCATAATCCCTTCTTCACCAGTCACTTCATTTGAGGACAAGGATGTCCTGTCCTCTTTGTTTCCTTTTGGGGACATACATTAAAAGCGCTAACTGCCCTCTGCTTAGTGCTGAGCCAAGGAAGAACACAGCGGCAAGAATTCAGAGCACACCTGCTCCCCGCCTCCCGAGCACAGCTTCAGTGGGTGTGGTTTCTATTCCCATGGGGCACTGCGAACGCACAATGCTCATTTATATCGGTTTTTAGCATAGTCTAAATCTCTGTGATCTAATCAGTAGAATAATTACCTTTAAATATATTAGTCTCAAAACTTGATAGACATATGTCACTCCTGGTAATTTAAAAAAATCATGAGGCATAAAGATAAAAATAGGAGCACAAAGGTAAAAGCAGGCCTTTTTTCCAAAGTAAGATTCCTGCCTTTCCTGACACTACCAACACCAAATACCCTGCTGCGGAGTGGATTTCTTCTCTCTTTTGTGTCTCTTCCTTATCTTGACCTCTCTAAGGATCCTGGGGTTCCTACAGTAATTATACTAAACAATATGGGCGTTTAACATTTTTCTCAAAGCCCTCTAAACATAAAGGTCCAATTGACAGAAAGGAAAAACAGGGACGGTCACTAGCAATCAGATATCACCATCATCCCTTCTTTACCAATCACTTTATTTGAGGACAAGGATATTCTAATAAAATAGCTCTCAAGGCTCAACGTGTCAGGTCAATCCACAGCCGCATGCCGGATGGAAGTTTGGCTGTATCATGCGGCTTCCATGCCATGAACTGAGTCCCTGCTGCGATCTCTGTTCTTTTCTCACAAGAAGAGCTTGAAACAACCAGGAAAAACAAAAAGAACAAAATGTAATTTTCAGAAGCTGAAACGAAACGCCAAGTGCCCGAGGCAAATCTCTTGTTTTCTGAACCACCACCAAGAGGCACACATCTAATATCACCTACCCCACTCCCTCAGATTATGGGGAAAATATGTTTGTTTTGTAATTCCACAGTAAATGCCAAGAAAAAAGCCAGAGGAGCACATAATTTTAAGAGTCTACTCATGAGGTTCACTTACGGTGGATTTATTTATAAAGCTAATCAGAAGCCGTCATTTTGTTTTAAGGGAGTGACGGAAAAGGCCAGATTGCGGAGCCGAGATGGTTACCTTCAGACTACGAGAGCAGGAGGAATCAAAGGAAGGGGAGGGGGCTGAGAGAACTGACCCTGATTCCCTGACGCCTGTGGTGCGCTAGTGTGTGTACACAACATAGATTATTCATGAAAGTATCGTTGTAGAACCCTACACATATCTGCAACTCTTTTTCCAGGGTTTTTATAAATTCTCTACTGTGTTAATATGCCACTGGGTATAAATTCTCTATATTCTAAGATTGGTCAGTATAAACATCATTGTGCTCTTGATTTGACGTGCAATGTTTCACACTTGCCATTTTATTTTCCCCCTGAAGGACATCTATTTATCAAGTAGGCATATCAGTTGATGCCAGGTCTACACCAGAAAAACAGAGCAAGACTGATACAAATTATAAAGCTAATTTAACACCAAAAAATCTACTGTTGCCAGAAACATGCAGCTAATGAAGGTCTAAGGATTTGGGAAGGACTTTTAATTAGCCTGAATTATCTGGATAATTACATTGATTTTTGCTAAAGTAAATTCATTCTTAATTGGTGAAGCTAATTATATAAATATATATCTCTTCTACAATGTTCTAGATTTTTCAAACCAAAGTATTTTCGGCTTAATTTTCCTAGGTAAGTGCTAAATTGCACACTTCACTGTACATTTGTATAAACAAACCCCTGGTGCGAACGTGACCTAAAAAAAGCACGTATATCTCCTGAATGGCCCGCCCTCTAACTGCATCATTCTAAAAACCAAATACACCGGAGGTTAATGTGCAGAACCTACACTTAATTCACAAACGTGGCTTGGAAAAATGGTTAGCAGTTGCCCATTAGAAGCAGAGCCATGACAATTTCTGTAGCATTCTTGCATGTAATTAGCCTCCTTTTCCCCTCTCAGCTATTTATAAATGCATAAATATATCTGTGCCCTACGTAATAATGACAGACAGTGACAACATATTGATATACAGTGCCACTTCGTAGTTGGAAATGAATATTTCATTAGCTGAGTTATCACTGCTGGGTTACGACCTTCAACTCTCTAAATTTAAATTCATCTGTTTTCAGAAAATTAAACTGTTCTTGAGCACACCACAGAAATTAAAGATGTAGAGGTAAATTTTCAAGGTAATTTTTAATTCCAAAAAAGGTCAAGGAGGTGCATACTAAATTCTTGGAAAAGAGTTGTATCTAATAATGACAGCAAATGGATCATTTTGGTTATTAATGATACTCTTTCTATACGTGAAAATGGAGAGGCAGAAGGAACAGACCACGGTCACTCAGTGAAATTATCAGGCTCCTAATGTCCTAATAGTGCCCGCAGGACACCAACTAGACCTACTCACACCCCACAGAAGCTCAGAGCGACACAGTGCCACCTGCTAAGAGCCTCATTTCCCCATCCATATTATTTCTTCCGGGAGTAACTCTCGAGTCCTTACAGGCTGTCTCTCTTCTCTGAGTTTAAAAATATGCCTTTGTAGAATCAAGAATATGTACATATTATCACACACATTAAGAAATTACTATCTTAAAGAAATGAAGAAGGGAAGAAAACCATCGACTGACTAAAAGATGCTTCCTCCCCAGGGAAGTACTGCCTCACTCCATCCCCAGGCCCTGCCCCTCCGTGATGCCCTTCTCCCCACCTGCAGGGCATAGGTGGGCAGGCTCCTGGGGGTGGGGCTCCTCTTGAAAAGTTTCTAAGCATCTTCTGGCTCACTCGACAGTGACTTAACTGCTTTTTACCATTCCTAGTGTTACTTCTGTGGTTTCTGTTCCTTTTTCAGCTCCTCAAAACCTAGCGATTCTCCGGGACATCACTCTACACATTTTCCTTCCGTCATCGCAGCTAGACCCACGTGTTGACCCCAGCCCAGGCCTCAGGCTCAAATGGCCAATGACCAACTGGACCTGCGCCCTACCAGAGAAGCCACCCAATGCCTTGCATATACACACGCCTTTCGTGATTCTCTGTTTCAAAGTCTAAAACCTAACACAAAGGCTCTGCACCAGGGTGTCTGCTGGGAGCTCAAACTCATCTTCTTCTGCTCCCGGCCCTCACGTTCCTTCGCCGGCCCAGGACCTGTCTGCGGCTCCCCAGCACAAGCCAGACCAGTTCTGCTCTCCACTCCTTGCTCAGGGGTTTTCTACTGCATGAAACATGGTACCTGCACCCCCTGACCCCACTCCAACATGATGTCCGCTCAACCTTCAAGACACACCATCCTCAACCTTTCCCACCCATGGCCCCACCACCACTCACACAACTTCGCTGGCCACCAAGCCCCACCTGGGGCACATCAAGCCGGGTCCTATAACAGTATATGTTATTTCTCGATTACTGTAGTTATCGTTATGATGGTGTTACATGAATTATCATCTGTCTCTCTTCTGTCTCAACTACAAAAAAGAACACTGCTTAAAAGCTTCAGAGCACATGACAGTATCTGGCACGAATTAGATAATCAATCAATAAATAAATTTTTATAAGTGCATATCAAGTGAAATAAACTCCACTCGCACCACTACCACCTTGGAAGACAGAGCAGATGCTGGCTAGAATCTTGGCTTTAAACATCACAACAGCAAGAAAAGTTCTAGGAGGCCAACTAGGTTAACTAGGCTACATAATTCCCCTTAACACTCTTCCCCTCTTCTCGCATAGGACCACCCTACATCAACCAACAACTCCAACTACTCCCCTCCTTAAAATATCACAGTTTCGGATGTGCTCAGCAGTCTTACTTAGCTGTACACCAAACTTCTTTGCACACATCCCACTTGTAAATGAACCACTGGTGACAAGATATGCTCAAAAGCTGTCTTTCACACCAACTAAGATGACTGGCTTCATTAGCCTGGCTTGATGGTTCGTACTCAATTTACTTACTGACTTAACACAAGACTAAATTGATAAATAAAGCATTGTGTTCATTTATTATTAAATGGCACTGAGTGGTTTGTCAAAGTGCCCAGGATATACCCTGGAAAACAAAATCTGACGTTGAGGAAATGGGAGGTGAGAGAGGAACATTTTGGAGAGTTCATCTTTAGTACCAGCTTCACAGAAAGCCAAAGGAAGATGGAGGCAGAAAGAACCTTGCCTCAGGTGTCGGAGGTCTTAAAGTCATTGTGAAACTGGACAACTGTGTCTCTCAATATCAAAACAAGAGCCAAAACAAAGCACCTGCTCACTGCCTGATTTTGTCCACAGCTGTGGTAAAAAGCGTTCAGAGACAGCACGAGTCATCTCCGCCTGAAGAGAGGGGCTCACAACTTAAATCATGTTATTAGGAAAAACAGGAAGAATAATTGCAAATAAAAGTCAGTTCCTTTAGTACTGGTCATCCTCATAATCATTCACCTGAAAATCAACTGTCTACATTCAAAGCTAGATAGGTGTTACACTGCTAAAATCCTACCATGCTGTTAGACAGAATTTTATTTGGTGAAGGGGTCAGGGATGGCATCTATTTCGAATTCATTGACCCATACATCACACAGTGATTAGTTTCAAAACAGATCAGATTAGAAATAATCAAAAGGCAATCGTCCAAATGCAGTTATAGTTTAAGCTATCGTTTAGCTGTAGAAAACAGACTAAACACTCATACATCCAGTCATCCTGCAATGCTGTATCTGAAAAGTTCATTTAACTAAAATTATTCTGTACGATATAATGTGCAAATTCATTAGCTCTTCTGCTGCTAAAGCTTATGAAGTTTTTTTAAATGTAGATGGGGAGAGAATCAATACTAAATTCTACACAAGACAGAGCTGGGGGGCATTATTCCTCCTGCAGCAGTCACCCCTGAGCCTGTCCACCAACACCTTTTCACACCCATGTGTTCCAGCTTTTTAGCAGACATTCCAAGTGATCTGAAATTAGCTAACATAACGAAAGAGAATCCAGTCGGATACTTTAAGAGCTGCATAATTACACAAATCTCTCCCAGCTCCCTCCGGGGGCAAGTTCAGGGACAGCGCTGAACTAATCAATGTTTTGGTTAAGAAAATCCCATTAACTTATAATATCACACTATCAAGTAGATCACCCTCTACAACAAAACGGATGGACATGGGCTCACATTTTAATTTCATAGATCTTTTATCTTCATGCTTAAAGCTAATTGGCAGGAGTGCCCAAGAATTAAGTTTTTCAGCAGTTAATGAACTGAAAACAAATTCTTAGATCATGGATGCAAATTTAACTGTCTCATGGGAACCAGACAGATAATACTATGGCTGAGTTCAAGATATTACTGAGCAGTAAGGAACAGAAGGAGGCACTGTGGACACTGCCTGACGTTGTTACGTTTAAGGATATGGACACTGCATATAATTGAAGGAAGACGTTAACACTGGGCTTCAAAATTATCCCGAATTTTCAACTGTTAGAAACTCATTAAAGACATTAAAAACCCCAGGTACACAAAACACATGAAGACCAAATGGACCTGAACATTAGAAACAACTCTATTTTGCCAGCGAATCAGTGTCACAATAGCTTGATGAACCATTCTTGAAATTTTTACTGAAGGTCTAAGTATCCAACACTCCACACACCAAGACCAAGATATTTTCTAGAATCCTAAAACGATCACTGTCACAAAACGACAAAGCAAAGCACGATCTTCCTTACTCAGAGGTGCTGATTAAATGACTGAGTTTGATAAACGACATCATTTGACTGCACACTGTACACTTCCTTGACTTTGTCTTATTCAGAGAAAGGCACTCAGGGTTCACACGCGACGGCCGTGTCTGGCAATAAAGCTCCGTGGCTATTTGATTTTGCTATTGATTTTTCTTAAGACAGAGCATCTTAATCTGGGGTCCCAAGATTCAAGTATCAGTAACTCATGTGGGAGATGATCCAGAACTAATGGAATGTGGGGAACAAGTCAGGGAAGCAGCTGATAATCTAAGTCCGATAGCTACTGGCTCAAAGCCTTTGGCTAACAAGCAGGAATCCCTCCACCCCAGTCCTTCCGGATGGCCAGATGCAGGTTCCGTGGCCCCGGAACACCCGAAGACGGATGGGGCACCACTGTGCACAAGATAAATCCAAAGTAATTGGAAAGGAAAAGGGAAAAGATGGGCAAGAAAACAACAGCACCTACGCTACCTCCACTCTTGGCACAGCCCATGACACCGAGCAAGGGCTACAACACGGCAGTCAGGAAACCAGCCTCCCCAGCGCTGGAAGGTTTGGTGGGAAGTCTCCTCTCTGAGCTAGATTGTGCCTACCCACAACAGCCAATTTATACAACCTCCATCTCTCAGTTTCTCCTGTCTGCATCTGCACTGGTTGGAGGGCTGTGAAAATAGGCTCATCCTTGGTAGATATTTTAGTCTCAGCTCTCCAGGGATAAGTCATCATGATGTACAGTGCCAAGCACCAGGCCTTCGGCCCCCAACACCGGCCCGCGTAATTAGGAAGGCAATTAGGAGCAATCACACTCTTCTGGCCAATTACTGCCTCTCGCAGGGAGGCTCACTCTGAAAATTAGACCTGGAGTCAAAACCTCCTTGTGCAGCATTATCTCCTCCACTTTTGTCTCTCCAAGGATTCATCAGATGTTCCCCCCATTTACTTAGCTTCAAGCACTCCCAGGAGGATGCAGAACTCTCTGCAGTTTCCTAATGGATTTTAATCTATGGATAAAATAAATGTATCTCAAAATAGCAGCATGCCTGACCAGAAAAAGTACTCACTACGCTTCTATGACGACTAAAACTTTACAAACTTTCCTTCCTTTGAACGTTTGCTCCTGTGTGTAAATACACTTAAAATGAATGGCAGTACTGCTACTTAGGATCAACCTTAGGATTGTATTTACTTTAACATATCCTACAAGATTCTGCAGGATCCTTCTCTTTTCTGCCTCTTTCCTTCCCTCTCAGATATCACCTCACACTCATCCACACTCAACGCTTTACTGTGACCACCGCGTTCTTCATGGTGATGACGGAGCAAGCACGCAGTTTCCCCGCCCTATGGCTTTCGTACTTATGCTCCTTTGGCTTAGAACTCTTATTCCCACCTGATCATGACTATGAGAGATCAGCGGCCACCATCAGCTGAAGTGAATCACTGCTGTTATTATCTATCACACACCAATTCATTTCCTTGATGGCTACAACTGATTAGTTTTACTTAGGGATATTCCTACTGCTTTTTTTCCTGGCTGTTCACAAGGACGTGTTCCAGTGGGAGCAGGGATCAAATGAATCGCATTTTCAAAGTGGAGAGTGCCCTGAGCAGCAACTACATTAAGGTTTTCTTTTGCACCTTCTGTGACAAGTATTGGGGTAGGGATGGAAATTCAACTATAAGATAAACATACCTGGTGCTTGAAGCCCTAAAATTTTACCAAGTAGGAGCTAAGAGAAATGGACAAAGCAATAGGACTTCCAAGCTCTGCACTATATAGGAGATTTCTTAGAACAAAGATATGGTTAACAGGCCACTGGATTACCATCTGCCACGCTTCACAAAACTAGAAACAGATCCACACCTAATAACCAACCCAATGGCTGATAAAGTACATGTATCTCCACTGACTGTCATCTGTGATACCATCCTTCACCTGTCCTATCCTGTCCCTCAGTTCCAAAGTCCAGGCTGCAAACAGTCCTTGGCCTTCAACACTCTTCTTCTCTGTCTCCGCATTTCCCTGCTTGGCCTGACAGCACTGCATTTCCTGTCTTGTGTTAACGAGCAATGCGATCACATCAGTCCCTCTGCGTGCTGAGCATTCCCCGAGTCCTGGGATGAACCAATGCTTAGGTGCTTAACACAGGCTGAAACAAAAGAAAAAAATCAAGACTAAAATATCTTATTTCTCTGCCAGCACATCTAACATGGAAGCCACTAGTCATATATAGCAATTTAAATATAATCAATCAAATTAAATTCTAGCCACACTAGCCATATCTCAAGTGCTCAGTGGTCAGATGGCTACTGGCTACCGTGTTAGCTCAGAACAGACATTCCCGTTACTGTTAAAAGTTCTACAGGACAATGCTAGGAAGGATCTTTATAAAATAAAGCTACCCTGTAAACACATCATTGCTTAGTGACTAGAACGGTTATTCCTGATGTTCTACAGAGATGCTTAATTCAATAAACTGCATCAAACATGTATTTAGGAACATTTCTGAGTACCACGTTAGGCCCAGCAGATCCAAAGAGCAGTGAGTCTCAAATTTTGACCCTCAAGAATTCCACAAGCCAGGGGCTGGGGATTTAGCTCAGCGGCAAAGCGCCTGCCTGGCAAGCGCAAGGTCGTGAGTTCGGTCCCCGGTACCGGAGAAAAACCAAAAAAAAAAAGAATTCCACAAGCCAGTCTGCAAAGCAAAGTATACCGCATCAGTCAACAGTCAGCTGCAATTCGATGCAAAAAAAAAATAAAGAAAGCTGTAAGAGCAGGCAATCATCAATTCAAATTAGAAAATGGACTGAAATTTAAGTTCCAGTAAAATTTAGGTAAAGAAGCGGTTCTTGAGATAGTCCTTGAAGATAAGGAGGATTTAAACAGGCAAAAAAGACCTACCCTAGATTCAAAACGTGTACCAAAGACAAATGACGCATGTTCAAGAATGACAGATGCTTGTGCTACAGAAGTATTAAGTATAAGAGACCATGGCAAAATATAAGGCCAGAGACCACAACACACCAAACCCCTACACGTCCCAGCTAAAGGGTCGAAATTCCTTGAGTCGGAAATTGAGTACTGCTCCACTAAGTCCCAGGGGAGAAGATACTTTCATACTTCACTATGGACAGTACCTTTTCCTCTTAAATTTTCAGAGTCTGGACAAACAGTCTAAGACAAAAGTGAAAAACAGACAGAAACTGATTCTATCAACAACCATCAAATGTTACAGGGTTTCTAAAGGCTTAGCAAAGAAGGAGAAAATACCAGTACTGATGTC